CCCCCCCAAACACCATGCAAGGAGACGGATCGGTGTGATTGCGCCGTCCGATGAACAGATTGCGAAGTCCGATGAACAGATGGGCTACTGTTTTAACCACATGCGTCAAAAACTGCTCGTTTTGGAAGTCGGCCCAGAATATCAGGTGCTTAGTAGCCTTGTAACACTTACAACTGTTTATTCAGTGGACCTTTAAAACTTCAAGCAAATTATACTCCTAGGTCGTTGGTCCTTGAGGACAGTTTAGACTCCAGAACTCCGATGCTGGACCCTCAGAGTATCGATTATCACGTTCTACTAGGATGCATGCAGAAAATGGCAGTCAAAAGCAGGCGATGAACAGGTTTTTTCACCGTGCTGCCCAAACTATGCTAACTAGCTGTGGAACAGCAACGGAATGAATAATCAGCGAATGAATGCGCATATGAAAATTCGATTATGAATACAAAAATAAATTATTCACTCATTTTCAATGTCCGGCATTTCTTTCAGGTCATGAGCACAGTCGCTGCCAATTGTCCTGGTCCTTTACGAAGAGGGTAAGCTACATGGATTCGGTTCCAGTTTTTGAGATAGTGCTAGGTCTTCTACACAGACAAGCTACTAGGCCTGCGGCCTCTAACTGGGATGATTGGGATGAGTAGAGACCATTTTGTCACGACAATATGCCGGCGCGATTTCAAGAGCACAACATACAAAAACAGTGATGATGCAGATGAAGCATGTTTCATTTCCACAGATTTCTATGCATAAATTGAGGTGCGTCCTCGGTCGACATACGAGGAAGCAGTTAGAGATTCATCAGTTAAATAAACCGATTTCACTACGTTGCGTTAAATCGATGGTTTGCGGTTTTCCTGTTGCCTTCTCAGACAGAACTAACTCCATTCAGTCGTACTCGATCCCAAGTTCATCGGAGAAGTGCGACCTCCATCACGTGAAGTCGTCAGTGTCGCGGTGCATGCCAAAGCACTCGCCATTGGACACCGTGGCAGCGGTAGTGAGGGAGGGACGAGGTGTCAATCGGTACTGCATTCCGACTATGCAGTCGGTCGGCAACGTCTTTGTTGTTTGTTGCTTTCGTCTGTTTTGTTTGTTTGTTTTCACCTAAATATCGTTAATGATCTTGCTCAAATAAAACAGAACGTTTTCGTCTGTCGCCCAGTTGTACACACAGACCGATTACACGTTTTTCGATCGATGATTGCGGACCCAAACAAAACCTGTAGTAGAACGGCAATTGCCAATGCGTTTCGCTGCCACACCTGCCGAATCGTCAGAACAGAACATTACCGTACACTGGAGTGAGTGGCGACGGTAATCACTAGCAACAAAAGTTTTCCATCGACTTTGTTTTGTACCCTCAAGCATGGTTCAGCAAGTTGGCCATGGATCGTTGCAATTTTAAAATTTAAAACTATTTGGTTCCACGGGACCACGAGCGGCCACTCGTCTGAAAATACCCTGGGACGATGTGAGAGTCAAATTGCCTTGCCAACAGCGGGGGCAGATGGCGGAGCACAGTGCAGCGTTGATTTGAATTCGTTGTACCCCCGCAAGGAGAACAAGTCGGTAACGGATGAAGGATACGGTAGGTTTACACCAACATTGCGGTAGACTGTAACTGCTAGAGGCCAGTACAGCGGAATTGTATGGCAGCATCACACAATACCTTCCTCCCAGGCGTCTATGAGGAACTGCGCCAGCACGAACTGTTCAACCTTCAAGATGCACCGAAACGAAACAACGGAAACCATATACATTGCTCAGCACCCTTAAAAAATGAAACGTCCAGGCAAAAGAAGACCCACGACAAGGTGGCCAGATGAAGCCGTTACTTTAACATGCATCGGTTTCAGCGGCTGGTGAGCAACACGTGAACCATATAGGATGGCAGGGTCATTTATGAATAACTCATTAATACAGGCCAACGAGGATGAGGACGTGACAGTATGAGGCATGCTTCGAAACATGCATACTGTTGCGAGAGGAATAGCCTCAAGTAAGCGAATAACGACTTCGTGTGACCTAGCTGTCGCTTCTCCTGGAATGCATTGCAAGAGACCGAGAAATGAATGTAGGCACTCTCCAATCACCAGGCCGGGCCGGTCAAACAGCAAGTGAGTTACCTGAAAATGCACTCTGCCGCCGACTTGCTGTGCTTCGGGAGGTCTCAGTTGTGGCGGTTCAAGACGTTGAAAAGTCGGTCGCTGAAAGAGTCGCAAGGCGACGCCGGTGGCGACCACTCGCTACCAGCGGTCGACTAGACTGTTCTGCAGCCGAGGAGCAGTGTGTGCAACGAAGACGAGGGTGACGATGACCAAGAGCACAAGCCACAGCCGAGGCAGATGGCGAGGACAAGAGCAAGAGCCGACACGCAATGAGTGCACCGGTCACCGAGCCATACTTTATACGGCCGCTTTTTCACGAACCGCTTCGATGCGATGACGACTGTGGTTTCCAATGACGAATGAAGCAGCTGCACAGGAATGCTACCACCGCCACCAAACGGCTCAGCAGATGAATGCATCGTAGTCGTCACACAGCCGTTCATTCGCAACCATATATCAATCGAACCACTGGCTGCGAACGCTACGTTACTACGGTGATTGACGGTCAATGAACCAGCACAACCTGGAATCACAGCCCCCCCCCGGAACTCGTGACCATACCACACCCCGCTGCCTTGCAGCTGCGCTGATCGAAGAAGCAACTGCGGTCACCAGACGGACAGGTATCCTTTGGCCGAGACCAGGAAGGTCTTCGGGGCAGCTGGTACACATAGTCATACAGCCTTGTGATGTACTTATGACTTTAAGCCATTGGCGATCACTGCCGTAGGTCACGACGAGCTACCTTTGTTGTGATTGCACAAATTGTCAACTACCAAAATCGGCACACGTCTACAGGAGTGAACAGGTGAATAGAATTAGCGTAACTTCCAGCGTTATACATAGACCATCCGAACGACCCTCAGGCAATTCGATGAAAGCAAGAGCGAAAGTAAGCGTCACGTGATAAATCACCATCCTTCTTTGAACATCGACAAACTTGTCCTTACTGAAGTGTGTTTACGAAACGCGTACATGAAAGGAAACGGCCTGAAAAATTGATTATTTCCTTGAACAGTACATGCATTCAGGATGGTTAGTCTTTCCGATGAAATAAGAGCTAATGCGTAAGCATGCACATGCATAAGTACACATTGGTAAACAAACGTATCAGTCCATTTAAACTGGACTTAATGCCACCGAGCTGAACTTCTCCATTGTTTCTAGCTGCCAGGGTGCGTTCATGCGTCGTCCAAAGATGTATTATGTTTGAGCATCTGCGGTATTTCGCCTCGTTTCCTCCCTAAAGCGAGGGGGTGATTCGCGAAACGCTACTCGTTTCATGCCTTAACATGGCTTAACTGAAAACAACATGCATGTGGGAAGTAACGTGAAAAATAGGAATATGAATAAATGGATAAGAACACGAACTGGAGTAAGCGATGTCATTGCCCGAGTGACTAGAAACCAGGGACCACAGAGATGTTAGACGGCCCGTAGGAACACCTCCAGATCGATGGGCTGAAGAAATTAGCTGGATCAAGATTGGTGAAAATGGTCTAGGGCGACGTCTTGGAGGGACCTTCATGCAACATGGGTCAACAAAGGCCGAAAATGATGATGACCGGTTTCAAATCATCCACGACACGCTATCGGTATAGGCGCTACAGATTTTGCAAGAAGACCATAAACAAAATCATAACACACTTGAATTTGACAGTCGTTTAGGTGTCGGCAACTTTTGGATCAGCTCCTCAATTACTGAACCTTAAACCGCACCATAAACCTTACACTATCGCTAACACCCTACGCAACTGAGGATACGCAGATCAGCTACTCATTCAGTAAAGTTCAAACCATGCCACAGGTTTTGGTTTGCGCAGATCAGCTCATCTATAATCAAAGTATATGCAATACAGTAGGCCTATCGCTGCCTTCTAATTTATGCTTAGGTCCCACAGAAAATGGCTTACAGATTAACCCTTCTGGTAGCAAGTTTCCCACGTGCTACACCAGTTATTACACCAGCTCTTACTAAAAACGTTTCGCTACGAAAACGTGCAGACCAGTTCTCTACAAGTACAATTAAACAAATGCTATAGATTTAATTCTAATTGATTGATGCTAATGATTCTAATTGATTCTAATGATTGAGGCTAATGCCATATTAGCTTCAACTGCACTCTTGGACTCCGCAACAAAACACGTTAGACGTTTAAACCATACTACAGATTTTAGACCGGCTTTCGCTCCTCATTGGCCTGCTAAACAGAGCACCTGCAGATCAGCTGCGCTCTCTGTCAACTTTAAGCCATACCATAGGTTTTGCACAACAACGCATTGCTTGTTTGACCTCATCGACGAAAAACTTGCACGGTAGTTCTGCAGTACGCCGCTTTATAGAATTATTTCCAGTTTCAACTTTCCATACATCGCTTTTAGCCTCCAAGCAAGTGCCTTTAGACCAGCTTAGCCTGCACTAAGATTCTTGCAATATTATATATCGTATACCATGTTCTATTCAACTTTCAGAAACCCTTATCGAAACCTTGTAGATTAGGTAATACTACAATGAATACAGAACTATATTAGCATACATTTTACACCGCCCTTTCAAATTCTGAGGACTAGTGCTGCGGACCGAGGATGGTGGATCGTACAACAACTTTAGGCAAGATACTCCAGATTTTACGTCATGTTCGAGTCCGCAGTTCACCTATTCATCAGAGGCCCTGCAGACCAACTCATCTCCTAGATGAGTTGCAAACTCAAAGTGGGTGTTACGCCAAGCTGGCATATCCAGACTGATAGCGATCCGCCTGGAACGGTCGCCGGTCCGAAAAGAACAAGATTGCACTGGCAATTTTTTGAGAATGACACGAAAAATATTTTAGCTTTCGCAGCTGACTGCGGATTCATCGCCAGATTCCTTGGCACTCCCTCTAACACCTCGACATGACGTAAGTGAGCCAGAAAATAGCATCATCCTAGATCCGCTCCAATGGTTCATAGAGAACACTGGATTATCAACAGACACGAAAAAACTCGATACAAAATTTTCGCCTGAATTACGCATACGAAATCCATCTAACCTTCCACCTTCACTGGGAATCTGATGTGTGTCAATTTAAGTCCAAACCGCAACATATATTGCGGTGAGAAAACACTAATCAAAATAAGTCAATAAAACTACTTCAGCGACCGGACGACTCACAACACTTCAAGTACTCGGTAGGAATTTGAAATGCGCTGTCAAGCAATGGTGAATCATCATACTCTTTGAGTTCAACGTCAAAGACTTAGCAACGTGAGGACGCAAACGATTGGTAGCGGCACATTCAAAACCGACGGCTATGTCGCTAAAAGAATACGCAAATCCGTAGCAAGCTCATTATGTATATGCTGCTTGTAAAAACCTCGAGAAGCAAACGTTAGCGGGAGGTTAACCGTCCAAGTAACGCAAGAAACCTTGCCGCATTTCTTAAGTCTAATATAATCAACATATATGTTAATAAAGACCTCACTGTAGTCGTACGGGTCGAGGAACGAGGATTTAATCTGGACCAGTCTCATCGATAAGATTCACCGGATTCTTGCTATGGTCCATGTAGCGAAACGCGTCGGCAATACACTGCTACACCTTCTACTGTGTTTGCTGCTCTGAACCATGAATCGCATCCAAATAATCCGCCTAATAACTGATTCATAACTCTGTCGTTGCTGCTACGAGTAGCAGCCTGTGGAGAAACCAGGAGGGGTGGAGCCGTGGGGAGGTTATCCATAAAAAAGAGCCACATGACCACTATGGTACTTACGTTATCGAACGCCGTACCGGCTCAGTGGTAGACCGCGTTACCATGGGCCGATCGAGCTGTTGAGGAACTGAGGCGCCCTGCCAAAGTCGGTAACCAGAATGCACCTGTTCCATGCCTTCTGGCAGCTAGAGGAGCAGCATCATGGCGACTGCTGCCGAAAATGTACACAAAGATGACGAAGATACCCGTCACCAACGCAGTCGCTACCCATTCTGGAGGGAGGGGACAGACAGCGGGATGCCAATGCAGCACGTCACGTGGCGCTCTACGGGAACGAGACTCACATTCAGAAATCAAACAGCTCCTCACTTCGGAGTAAAACCAGAAACTAGTTGCCCAAGCCATTGGATAATGATTGAACACAGTTGGGCATTCATCGACCAAGCGATACTGCTCTGTATGAATCTTTGCTTCTGGAAGTTGTTTTACTCAGAAGCCTGGTTGACAGCATCACTGAATGGAAGCCTGTCAAATGTAAATGGCAGTCGTCCGGCAGAAATTACAACAGGCCAAAGATCTGATTTCGCTGAAGGTCCACGTGTCCATTTCGGAGGGACAATATGCACCCTACATGAAAGAGGTAGAGGCTGCTCATTACGAAGTGCCGACTACAGAATCCATAATTCTAACTAGCTATTTCAATCAAAATAAACAGGCTTGATCGGAAAAGTTATTAGACAGGATTAGTCAGGCCCTAGCGACTCAACAATAATGGCATGAAGTTGTTGCGGTTTTGTGCAGACAACCGACTGTCCATTATGAACACCTTCTTCGAGCATCGAAAAGTTCATCAGTGTACTTTGTGCAGGGATACATTTGATAATTGCATGGTCTTACTTAAGGAGCTCAGTAATGGATGTTCGTGTTAAGACAGGCGCAGAGCTATCAACCGATCATCACCTTGTTGTTGGCACGCTACGCTGTAAGAAATGGAGTACCATAAGAAGATCTGGTGGCAGAGGGAACCGGAGAATAAAATGGAAATCATTCTCTTCTGTGGATGCGAGGCCAAAACAGTCGTTGGTCCTCCAGATTGAAAAGCACCAGCTGCGATGGTTTTGAAAGTATTGCAAAATCTTTCAGAAAGGAAGGCGAGGCAGTTACTACTTGCCCAACCGACCGGCCAACGCTCCTCGGGACGGGAAACAGTGACCTGGGGCAAGTATTTTATGGGACTCTGCTCCAGACTTGGATTATATTCTGCCATAGCAAAAACTCTGGCACAGAATGGAAAACCTTGGGATATCATCTGACGCGTCTACCTCCGCGGCATGAAGGAATAAGCGGTCATCGAAACTGACTGACTGGCTGGACCGTTTTATTGACTGGAATATTTAGTATTTCGCTCATTCTCATTCATTCATCACTCACTCGTTGAAAAATGAATCTACGAATTTCTTTAAAGTCAGTAATTCATATATTTCTTCCCTCTTTCACAGAATAACACATTTATTTATGTATTCATTCTCCCATTCAATCACAAATTCGGTCAGCGAATCATTCACACATTCATTCGTTTGCTGACTGACTAATTTTGTCCCGGATTCAGTCACGCATTGATTCATTCATTAACTTGTTTATTGGTTCAGTTATTCATCCGTTCCTTGTATTTCAGCAATCATGCACTGTGTGTACTTTTTATCGGCTTGTTAAACAGATTTTGGAAATTGCTGAAAGGTTCTGTGGCAAATCATTTCTATTGCTCCTCTGACACAATTCCGAAACTGTGCTAATCCGTGCGAACAAACAGACCGCCAGCGAAGGGATCTTCATTCTTTGCAGAGCCTCGTTTTCACTTAACTCACTGCATTGGAGCAACGCAAAACGTACTCGCCTAAGTGAGGTAGTGGTGAAACAAGTGAGGGCCCTGTGATATATCGAACCTCAAAATGCCAGACGTTGTTGATTGAGTATACGCATATATGCGAAAGTTTGGAATATGTACACTTTAAGAAATGTGGGCAATATCAGTAC